CAGATGACGAGAACCGTAGAGAGAGTCTGTTTCTGTCCATTCCTCAAAAGCCTCCTCTCCATCAAAAAACACCAACTGCAATGTAACAGCAGACCTCTGGAGAGAACGACAGACAGAGAGGATGCAGGTAATCTGTTATTCTCTCTCGGACTCATAATGATGTACACACACTTTAGGCTTGATTCAGCACTGTGATGCAGCTGGTTCTTGTTAAATATCTTCACCCTTTTCCTCATGATTGTGATTTACCTGCAGTTTTAGAGCTTTAAGCTGTGTGTCCAGAGCAGTGGCCAGCTCCAAGATCATAGCACAGGGTATGGCTGAATCACTGGCACCCACAAACACCCGCTTGGGGTTTTTAGGGTCTGCAGGTAAGATCTTTGAGTCATGGTGGCATGCTAGAAGCAGCCTGCGAGGAGCCGTGGGGTCCAGAACTGCTAGCACATTGGTGAAGGTCACTTTACCCTGCGGGGTGGATGAAACGAAGGAATTCTCTTCCAGTGTCCATCCTGCTGACAGTGAACCCAGCTGGGACAAGATATGCTGTAGTTGGAAGAGGTGAGAGAATTTGACTGACCTTCACTGCATGTTTATCAGAAAAATATATTTAAAGGGGTCCTATTATGCTTTTTCACTTTTTCAACTTTAGTTAGTCTGTAATGTTGCTGTTAAAAAAGATCTGCAAAGTTACAAAGCTCAAAGTCCAATTCAAAAGGAGATATTTTATTTAACGTTTCAAAAACTACAACGCATATTTTCCGGGATTTGTGATATCACAAATATCGACGAATGGGACGAGACCTGGTTGAGCTGCACTAGAGAAGGCAACGAGTGTTATCACTATGTCGGAGACATGCTAGCTTTCCCAAGGCAGACGAACTTAGAGTGATTATAATCATCCGGGTTTAAATCACGCTCAAATTGATTTGATATTGACAATTTTTACACTGAAGCTCGCAGATGGCTATGGTAAGGGGCATGACATTTTCTGACCAGGTGCAGAGTGCAGCCAATCACAACACACACTGGCCCAGCTAACCAATCACAGCACACACTGGCCCAGCTAACCAATCACAGCACATTTCGTGTTTCAGAAGGCGGGCCTTCATTTGATTCAGGAACTATTCGAGCCGTTCATGCCAGACTGGGGAGAGAGGTGCTGTAATAATGTAAAATATGTGAAAAATAATGTGTTTTTCGAACAACCTAGTATGAGAGCCTGTTCTAGTACACCCCCAAAACAAAATCTAGACTTGGTAAAAGAGCATAATAGGACCCCTTTAAAGGAATAGTTCACTCAAAATTGAAAATCTGCTGAAACTTTACTCACCCTGAGAGCCATCCAAGATGTTAATGTTTTAGTTTTTTTCCATTACATCACTTGCATCATTGCAGTGAATGGGTGCCGTCAGAATGAGAGTTTAGCTGATAGCTGATAAAAACATCACAATAATCCACAAGTAATCAACACGACCCTAGTCCATCAATTAATATTTTGTGATGTGAAATGCTGCATGCTTGTAAGAAATAAATCCATCAAGGCTTTTTAACTTTAAACCAGTGCTTCTGGTCATAATTCATAATAATGCTTTCATCACAGAAAAAGACCATCCCATGTTGTCCTTTCACATCAAAATCCACCGACATATTTGTTTAGAACTGTAAAATAGTGTTTTGTTTAGAACTTGTAAATAGTGCTTGATTTGTGCATATATCTTTCGTGATTCAGACAAGATGACTTTTTCGCTGGGAAAAGCATTATAATGAACAGAAGAGGTTAAAAAAACATCTTGATAGATTTACTTCTTACAAACACAGCTTGTCGCTTCACAAGATGTTAATTAATTTACTGGAGTCATGTTGATTACTTGTGGATTTCTGTCATGTTTTCATCAGCTGTTTGAACTCTCATTTTGACGGCACCCATTCACTGCAGAGGATCCATTGGTGACCAAATGATGTAATGCTAAATTTCTCAAAATCTGTTAAGATGAAGAAATAAACTTATCTACATTTTGTACGGCCTGCAGGTGAGTACATTTTCAGCAATTTTTCATTTTTGGGTGAACTATTTAAAAAAAGAGAGCAATGCTATTACATATACAGTGGGTACGGAAAGTATTCAGACCCCCTTACATTTTTCACTCTTTGTTATATTGCAGCCATTTGCTAAAATCATTTAAGTTAATTTTTTCCCTCATTAATGTATACACAGCACCCCATATTGACAGAAAAACACAGAATTGTTTGTGCTGTGCTGTGCTGTGCTGTGGTGTGCTGTGGTGTGCTGTGCTGTGCTGTGGTGTGCTGTGGTGTGGTGTGTGTGGGTCGGGGCTCTGACACAGTGAACCAGTAGTGAATACAAGCTGTATTTCCTTCTGTTGCCTTGATTTAAACACTATATTATCAAATAAAACATGCTTCATTGGTTCTCTAGTCTAATTGACGTTGGACATTGTTTTAATTTAATTGTTGCTGGGAAAAACGGCTTTATAATGTAATTAATTGTATTTCTAATGGCATCCAGGTCTTCTCAATTGAAAAATATACTCGATATTACAATTATGACAACACTTTACAAAATGTCAATTCATTAGCATTATGAGCAACAATATATTTATATATTGTTAATTCATGTATGTTTAGAACGCAGTAACTTTTAATAAAAAAATTAAAAAAATGTCTTAGTTATTTAAGTATATTTAATGAGACTTGCATTAAAAGCTATCTTTATACCTGAGCAACATTTTGGCTTCTCCAAAAAAAAAAAAATATATATATATATAAAAAGAATAAAAAAGAATACTAAAACTTGTTCAATTGATGGGAAATAATGACATTAGTATTTATTTGTTTACATATGCATTAATATTTTTAATTATTAATAGTCATTAATACACCAACATGTAAAGCATATATATTTTGTAATAATTGTTTTTTTTTCAAAAATCAAATTTTGTCTGATTGTTCCATCTTGAATTAGGGATGCCTTCTATGTTATAGTGCTTTACGCGTTTATGACCAGCAGAGGGAGCACATAATTAGTCAGCCCGACAATCTTGTGTTCCAGCAGGAGGCGCTGTTGTTCTCTGTGGCGGCGGCGGCAGCTCGGTATGGAAGCGTTCCATCGCGTTTTGTGTCAAGCGTACTCTTAAATCGCTCAACAATTAACATCAAACTCATTTCAGTTGTTAAATGATCTCTTGGATCAAAACTGACAGTGCTACTCGCCGGTTACTTATACATAGAGCAGTTGTTTGGAGAAGAACACCAAAATAACACTTTCCCATCAGCGAGACCGTAATGACGCAGAGTTCACCACCACAATGCGTTTACGTGTAACTTATACAACTATTTATCTGGTTTTCAAGACAAGATCAAACTCCCAAGTTTTCAGCGGCAGTGCAATAATTAAATAGACTAGCTACACAGAAAAAGCATCAGTTACACACCTAATTAGCTCTTTATTATGTGGCATTAGCATCTCTGTTGGGAAGTGATAAATTAACGTCTGAATAACGTAAAGACTTAAACTACTTCAGTCTGTGTGCATTGAATTTATTTAATACACGAGTTTCACAATTTGAGTTGAATTACTGAAACAAATGAACTTTTCCACGACATTCTAATTTATTGAGATGCACCTGTGTGTGTATATATATATATATAATTATATATAATAAATGCCATTGTTAAGGTTTTAGGTTTTGAAGGGGTAGTTCACCCAAAATGTCTAAATTTCTGTCATCATTTACTAAATTAGAAACTCGTGCAGTTTTGGAACAACTTGAGGGTGACAGAATTTGCATTTTAGGGTGCTATAGATTTAACTATCCCTTTTTAGCAGCTTAGTTTCAATAAATTAACTTTTTAGACTTGTATTCCTCTTAGTATGACCTCATCAAGAATTTATGGGCTTAACAACAATATGTACATTTTTAACAAGCTGGCATTTGTACAACTTTGCTCTTCCAGTGTAGCATAACAATGTAAAATAAAACAATGGTCAAGAATGTTATGAAATATTTTAATATATTTTTTTATAAAATAATGAAAACATAATTTACACATATTAAATGTACACTCATTGATACAACATCCCCAAAAGAAACTGAAAGATTGATCAGTTATCAATAGTTAATCGAGGCATTAGAGCCACTGTTTCATGCATGAAGCAAGAGACAAAAAGATGAATTACAATAAAGTTTCTTTAAAAATAAAAGAATAGGATAAAATCAGCTTTGTACAAAAGATCATGAATCAAACTAAGTATAAAGGATGAACTAAAAAATACATCAACTCAGTACCCTCCAATAATGTTACCAAATCTGTAGTCTTGTAATTTTCACCGCAAATTTGACTTTCTGTATTTAAAAAAACAAAACGAGGAAAGAATCAAAATAAATAGTCAAAATATTACACATAAAAAATAAACCTTCAATTATTACAGCTGGACTATATAATTTGCCATGATTTAAGAATGCGCAACACAGATGCACATAAATGTTTTCACAAGTATATTACTCATATTTACCTATATTTAAAAATAAACAATAAAAAAACACCTCCACCCAACTATCAAACAGAAATCATAAGACACTCCATGGTGTACATATGACACCCAGTAACCCAGAACTGAGTGAGACACCAAGAGTCTGCAAAACCTCCCACTTCATTGACAGAAAAACACACAGTGGGTGAAGTTCTTGTAGTCACAGCAATGAGATGAGAATCTGATAAAACAGTAAAATGGATCTAAAACAGCGAGGCAAATGAGCTAATCATAATATGAACATTTGACTTTGCAAGCCCAGAGTGATGATGTATAAACAAAAGCTTCCAACGTGTATACAGAATTGTATTCCCATTTACTCGTGTTGTTCCAAACCTGTATGACCTGCTTTCTTCTGTGGAAATGAAAAGAATACAATGGAAGTCAATGGGAACCAAAACTGTTTAGTTGCCAACGTTCTTCAAAATAGTTTCTTTTATGTTCCATAGAAGAAATAAAGTCATACAGGACTGGATCAACATGAGGGTGAATAAATGACATTTTCGGGTGGACTACTCCTTTTTCCTCAATTTATAGTGGGGAGAACATGTTATGCTAGCTATCAGCAGTTCAAAGCTGAATAAAATCACTATATGTACAATTACACTACTAAACAACTGCAATGAATGATGTCAGGTCTTATTTGTATCTCTCACCCCATAAATAAACAAAAATCTTTGCATTTTACAATGCTAGTTACTGTAATAAGCATGTATATAGTTGTTTTTGTGTATCTGAGCAGAGCAGACACATTATATTTTCACTTATAGCTATGATGACTAATACAATTAAGTCAACCGACTGTTGCCGTGCTTCTGCTTTCACGTGAATAAACAGAGTAGATTAGGTCATTGAGAGGGTAGCTTACGGGTCCTGAGAGAGGAGGAGATATTTTTCCAGTCACATCAGGTTAAAGGGATGGAGAGAGCTGATATGAGTCACATCACTGGCCAAAGCTGACCACATTAAGGCAGACATGTACAGAGTAACATGGGGTACATGATAAACCATATTCGATCCAGCCTGACTGTTATTCCAGTTACTCTTGAAGATTTTCCAGAGCGCATAACTCTGGAAGAGTACTTTGCGGATCGTCTTAGTATGTAAACACGATGATCTGCCTAGAAGTTGAAAACAGCCATCTGCCAACAGTCGTTTCACCTGATAAACCTAAACTAAATACAAATAGAAAAATAGAGTCTGTATGGAACACAGCTGAACAGGGTTTCTTAAGTGTCGACTTTGCATATACATATACAGTGTCGAAATCGGACAGAACAGCCCAAGTTTACACACAGTGCTATGCCAAAACCCTACATAAGAGAGCAGGTGGCATTTCCTGTCACATGACACTGTCACTTAAAGACTGAGCGATGTCCATGCACAGAGGAAACGATCAAAGACTTGGGTGTAACATCACAGTTTTAGTAGTGGTTGCTATCATTGGTCACGTTTTTCTGTTAGAAGTGGTGGCGGTTCTCCATCTCTGGAGAAGTGAAGATCTCCAGAGCCATTATTGCAGAGTTTCAGTCACTATGATCCCTATAGGAAGTCGGTTGGATGATAAATCAGCTGAGATGAGAATGGTTTGAACAATCGCCACTATAAATATGAATAGCGTTTAATGTACCTGCACATGATTATGCGATGTAGAATTATAGTTTACAGTGACATGTTATCTGTGAGTCATTCCCAGAGCACTGCACTTTTCCTCACAATTACAGTACCGTGATTTCTCGCAACGTGTTGGGAAAGGTAGGACCTCTCACGTGGCTCAAGTTTCGATTTTCTGTTGCTTTTTAATTTTTTTTTGGCTGTTGAGCTGACTGTGCAGTAAATAGGCCTCTCTGATGTTTAGCGTCTCTCAGTTTTTCTGGCTCAAGCTTCGTGTCGACTCGTCGAGTACAAAAATAAATCTACAATGAGAAAATAGTTCCGAAAGTAGTTCGATCAGATGAGGAGATCGCTCGCTTCAAGGTAGGACTCGCGCGCGTTTGTTTGTTTGTTAAAAATAGACATTTGTACTTCTGTACCGGCTTTAAGTTAAAGCTTTAAAGTCTCAAGTCATCAGGCAGACCCACATAAACTCTTTCGGTTTCCCTCCGTCACACTTTCATAAAGCTCACAGTATGGTGTGTGGTGAGGACGAGCTGGCAGACTTGTCTAAATGAGGGCGAGCAGGACAGTGAATGCACTGGATAATAAGAGACTGTGAATTAAATTAGCTGTTGGCACTTAACGTGCCATATTAGGCAAAGTACAGGTACGTGAAGACCTCCTCTCATCTTCTCTCAGATGAAAGGGAACAGTCATTTCCTTTCGGGCATGGTAGTGGATAAGATTTTGCTAAACTTGCGGAGTTGTTCACTGGCTGAGTGCGATTCCTCCTGCAGGCGCTGGTTGTTCTGCCTCAGATTAGCCATCTCTGCTAACAACGCTGTCTTGTCCTGTTTCTCCTGAGAGAGTGGGACAGGAAGGCACAGATGAGGGAAGAGAGAAGCATAATTACAATAATGTCATCAGCTAGTCAATTACTGTTCTGCACCAACTAATCCACTATGAAAACAATATTTAGACTTCATAAATGGATTTTATTTGCATGTTGTAGGTATGTATTTCTACTGAATTCTTCACTTAAATCACGCTTTTAAAGGCGAATTGGGTGCCACAGTGGATATGTGTGAAATCCAAGTGTGCCATTATAAGTGCTGCAGGAGTGAGTCCTAAAAAGATATTTTCACATTTATTCCACAACATAAAGTACACCAATAATGCCCCACTTACACCAGAAATGGCTAAACTCAAACTTTCCAATCTTTAGATTTTTAAATAAAGACTGAAACAGCTGTCAGAATCTCAATGGTGGTGTTGAAGTCATGTGACCATGGTGTAGTTTGTTTATAGCCTAGCGTAGGCTTTTTATACGTGTTAATTTGTGAAGGAATCATAAACCTTTATTTGTCACAGTTTTTTTTCTGCAATGACGCAAAAGCCAATGGAAAAATGTTGAGGGAACCAGTGTGATGTCAACTACTGGGTTGGCCAACAAAAACACATCATCCCTGCAGCGCTCTATTGACATGCTTGTTCACACACCCCACTGGAAAGAAAACACAAAGTGATACAAGAAACTTGGTAACTTTATCAGATTGGTTTTTGAATAAAATATGAATTTGACAAGTGTGTCATATTTCAACTTTAAATAACTTCATTTAAACTTAAATTAACATTTTCATGTAACCGACTACTTTATGTGTTTGAATACTCGGCAACACAATTACTCAAAATACCCGTCCCTAGTGAACCTGTCCTGCACCGGTCAGGTTCATTCAATGTAACTCACTTTTTCCAGATCACTGTTCAGCTGTTTCAGCATGACTTCCAGATGATACAGACGCCCAGACAGGTCATTGGGAGCCTCTTCACTGCAATATGCACAAATTAAAAACAAATGAAAACCAGTATCCTAGAATATAAATTATATTCATAATTCTACTGATTCCCGCAGTTTCCGCACTTGTAATGCGGGAAATTCCAGCAAATATTTCAGTGTGAAAGATGCTCGGGACAGATGACGGAATGTATCGTTTGCACGTGCTTACAATTTCAAACATTCAAGTGCTCAATTCAGTACTTGCGTGCTCTCTGTGAGACCCCTTTCTGTGCGCTCACACCCAAAGCGCGCACACAGAGCCACATCTGAGAGCGCGCGACTACAGAATGAAGTTGTGTTGCGCCTTATTGCGCGTAAACGGCCAGATACATACAAAATTATGTCAAAATGCTCATCTTGATGAGTATTCACGTAAACAGTTGATTTATACTAAACATTGTCGGTATACAGGCTATTAAGTGAATGTAAACAGTTGAGAAACAAAACTTATGTGTTGATCCATGCATGAGGTCTTAAAGAGACAGCAACCTCAAACCTGCTGCTGTCTGTCATTAATGTTTATTTATACATTGAAGACTAACCAGTGTTATTTTAAAGTTAAATAGATTATTCTGTTTCTGTGGTATTTCTGAACCTGAATATTACTGTTAAACCTACCTGAAAAACTTAAAGCAGTGAATTTTAGTTGTATATTGTTATAGTATTTGTTTGTGCCATTGCTTGTCATTTATTTTGTTAATTATTTTATTACTGACAGTTTACTTGTCTTTTTTAGTTAAAATAATTTAGTTCTATTATTCAATTAAGTTCTTTTTAAGTATCTTCCTCACAATATAAATATGAATCAACAACATTATAAATTGTAAAATTGTAAAAATACTCCAACTCCCCCCTCAAATAAAAAAAAATCCCCCCAATAAGAGCCACCAATTTTCCAAAACGAAACTCAGGCCCTGCTTAATCCATGATTGAAGGAATGAGTTAATTTGAGGTTAAGCAAACTTTATGTAGCATTGAAGAGCCAGCATTGACCTCTTGGTATAACAATAACTGCCGAGAACTCGGAGGAAAAGCACGTTTATATACAGTACAGGGGTATGTGTGTGCCTCTTACCTGCTGAAAGTAGGAGTGGTGCGGGGAGTCTGTGGCATGTGGAAATGCACCGGGCTGATGACGGGTCTCAACTCATTGCTGCCCGCATGAGACTCAGACAATGAAAATAAAGAAACCGCTCTTTGCACTGTAAAAAATACACAGATTTAATCATTCAGATTACAATGATTTTATACTACATAGCCTTTATACTTACAGCCTTTTTATACTACATGGGATTGTTGCAAGAACAAAATAAACTTAAAGGTAAAGTCTGTAAACCATACAGAGTCACAATGTTTACACTCTTCAGTGGATTCATCCTACAAATGGCTTATTTATAGTCAATGCATATTAAGTCAGGTTAGGAGAAAGTATGACATCAACTTTATATGGAAGCCCATTTCTGCCACACGAGAAAAAAAAATCATGCTTTGGTAAATTATAATTACGACAAAAAAGTTGAGACTTGTGAGATGAAAGTTGCAATTATGCGATAAAAAGTCAAAATTAAGACTTAAAATGTTGAAATTAAGAGATAAAAAGAAAATTATGAGAAAGTCGAAAAAAAGAAAAAAAAATCTATTAAACAAGATGTTGAAATCAGATGAAAAGTTGACATTGAGATAAAAAAAGTCATAAAAAATTATGATATAAAATGTCAAAATTGAGATATAGTCCAAATTATGGAATAAAATCGGACAAAATGACATAAGTCACAATGATGGAAAAAAAGATCATAATCGACTTGCTTCACAATTTTTATGTATGTACTTTTTTATGTAATAATTATGATTAACCAAATCATAAAATGGGCTCCCGTAACTTAAAGTATCTTAGTTTGACTTTAGAAATAGACGTGTCAGACAAACACTGTCTCATACCTTCATATGCTTTGGCCGCATTTACTAAGCTGGACCACTCTAGACCACAGGCAGTGTCAGGAAGGGGCATGAGTCCAGGGTCCAGTCTTCTGAGAGGTGGAACTTTATCCCTCACCTCAGTTAGAGATAATTCTGATGTAGACAACGGTACTGGAAAAACAAAAAGTTGACCGTTTACCCCAAAACTATTAGCAGATAAGAGTAAAAGCTTACCAACTGACTATGACTAGCAAATGACACCTACCTTTCTTACTAGGCATGAGGGCTCCATGATTGGTGTTGTGGCGGCGAGTAGGCAGCGTGCAGGTGAAGAGAAGGTCACTGGGCGGGACTTGTCCTTCAAAAAGAGGCGTGCTTGCATAACTAGAATCTCTCCGTCCACTGCACAGACTCTCATCTGAGAAAGTACGTTGCAAGGTCCGATGAGGAGACTGTAGAGGAGCACACACACACAATGCACAAACGAGTTTGATAGATTGTCATGTGTATAAGCAGAGGTTTGTATTTTTTGTCTCTGTTTAGGGTTGTTCATGTGTGCTCACCGCATCCCGTGATGGTGCCTCTGTAGGGTTGTCCATGATGATGAGCTTTTTCAAGTCGTCCTCAATGGTGCTCTTGTGAGATCTGCGTGGTGAGCGCAGGTCCCTCAGAGAGGCACGTAACCGGGGCTGTCCGAACACATTCTTACTGTTTGTATCCACCTGCCTGAAAGCACACATAATAATCAGGACCAAGATTCAGATGTCATGCATCTATTTCATAATCCATCAGCCTTCTCATAAACATGAAATATATATTTATCAAACACACATACTTGTTGCCGTTGCTGTCAGTGGAGGTGGTGCTGGTTGCTGTGCTGTTCTCCTCCTGTTGCCATGTACTCTTGCTTTTACTAAATGACTTGGGGGCGGAGTTTGACAGCTGGGCAGCGCCTGGTGTGGGTGTGACTGTTGAAGATCTGAAAGGCCGGGGTTTATCGGCCACAGCAGGGGTCTTGTACCCTTGAGGGGTGTAGCAGGTCCTAAATCCCAGAAATAAAAATACACACAATTCATATGCCGGTATGTCAGGATTATACTGAATTATTAAAAGGGTCATATGATGCGATTTCAATTTTTCCTTTCTCTTTGGAGTGTTACAAGCTCTTGGTGCATAAAGAAGATCTGTAAAGTCGCAAAGACTAAAGTCTCAAATCCAGAGAGATATTCTTTATAAAAGTTAAGAGTCAGCCACGCCTACCTAAAACGGCTCGTTCTAACACGCCCCCACATATCTACATCACTATGTGGGAAGATTTGCATAACGCTGCCCAAATGTTCACGCAAAGAAAGAAGGCGTAACTTTTATTCTTGCTGTAGTATTGTTGCCGCTGCCGCCATGCCGTGAAGGCACTGTGTGCTTCATTGTAAAAGCGAAACTACTTTGTTTGGCCTTCCAAAAGAAGATGATATCGCTTCGTCATGCCTGGAGCAGATCCGTGCTGGTCGCTGAGGAAATACATCAACTTTGCGCTGTCGATCGCTAGATCGGCTTTCACCGTGGACGAAGGCGGAGTCCAGCCCAGGGTCGTCACATGTGGTTGCCGCAGGCATCACAATATGGTAAGGGACGGAAAAATTTCTGTCACACGCTTGAGGAATTCAGCCAATCACAACACACTGGATAGCTGGCCAATCAGAGCACACCTCGCTTTTTTAGACCTATGAGCTTTGTAAAAATCGATGCGTTTCAGAAAGGCGGGACATAGAGGAGAAATGTACAGTATGTGGAAAATAATGTGTTTTTTTAACCTTAAACCGCATAAACATTTCATTACACCAAATACACAAAATAATGTTCTTTTTAGCAACATCATATGACCCCTTTAACACTGAAAAACACATTTATAACATGCTATAATTGCAGGCATAATCCATTATTGGCCATCACTGCTGTTCGTGTGCATTTGTTTGTCAATCAGACCTGAATTCTCCCATATGTGTGTTGTGCTTCGCTATGTTTATCAAGATACAGTACCATTCAAAAGTTTTTATTATAGTACTTCAACTCATTTTATTTCAGTTAGTTTCTACGGCAAAATTTTATGTTAAAGTTTTTAATTATCCCATATGTATATTGTGCTTTGCTATGTTTATCGAGTTACACATTCAAATGTTTGGGTCAGTACGATTTTTTAAATGTTTTTAAAAGTCTCTAATGTTTATCGAAGCTGCAGTTATTGGTTAAAGATACAGTAAAACAGTAATATTACAGAAACAGAAATATTATTAAAATTATTACAACTGTTTTTTTTTTCACTGTTCATTTTTTCCTGTGAAGGTAAAGCTGAATTTTCAGCAGACATTACTCCAGTCTTCAGTGTCACATGATCCTTTAGAAAACATTCTGATATGCTGATTTGGTACTCAAAAATATTTCTTATTAATATCAGTGTTAAAACTGTTTAATGCGTAAACAAATACATTTTTTTAAATTCTTTGATGAACAGGAAGTTCAAAAGAACAGCATTTATTTAAAATAGGAATCTTTTGTAACATTATAAATGTATTTACTGTCACTTTTGATTAATTAATGCATCCTTGCTAAATATAAGTACTAATTTCTTTAAAAGAAATCTTACTGACCCCAAACTTTTGAACACTAATGTATACATTTCAGAATAAATACAATACCTTGGTTTGAAGTTGTCGACATTGGCTGATCCAGGAGGGGGGAATGTGCGTGTGCGATAGTTCTTGCTTTGATTGACAGATGCAATGACGGGTGACGACTCCCTGCGACGACCCTCTCCTGCCGCTCCGGACAGCTCCTGCAAGCCGCTGTAGGTAGCAGAGCCATGCAGAGGTTTATGGGGGGTTCCTGCTAGGCTGCGGCTAGCTTTGGCTCCTTTAGTGTTAGGACTTGGAGTGTAAAGAGATGCATCGATGCCACTGTCACTGGACCCTCCCTTGCACATGGGGTCAGGGTCGGGGTCTGAGGGGTCACTCAGGGCACCAGAAACCCCACCTCCCACGCTGTCAAACCAGCGCTCGTCGCTGTGACTGCTGGAAGCATTGCTGGAGAGGGTGTTACTGCTGGAGTGACTGGAATAGTGTGCCTCACCCTGAGAGAGAGCAGGAGGAAGAGTGATTAGTACACAAGGGCCAAATAACAACTTCCTGGCTGCCCTGATGATGAGGATGACCTCTTACCTTAGAGTGGCGGTTTGGAGAGTCCTTCCCTGCAATGTCCTGTCGAGTCTGTCTTCTCGGAGCTGAGCCCACTGACACACCTCGTGATGAAGCAGAAACATGCCACATGGGCTCTGTCCAACACACAAACACAAATGGGGTAAAGTCATGGTTCCTCGAGAGGGAACGAGAGGCTGCATGCAGCCTGCATGACCGGTGTCTGAAGCACGTGTGAAACAACGCCAATCTATTGGCCCACCTGGCCCATGACGTCATAGGCGGGATGGCCGGAAGTATAAAAGGGCATCTGCTGAATACGTCATCCACTGTAGCTGTCTGAAGGAGACATAGACAGGCAGGCCGAAGGCATGGCTAGGGGGCGTAGCGTCTCGTTCCCTCTCGGGAACCATAGTTACATGCGTAACCCGAGATGTTCCCCTTCTAGGGAACTCAACGCTGCGCCCCCTAGGGGGCACAATGGGGAACGAAATCCAAGCACGCCGTACCGAGGGGCATGTCTGTCCACCTGGTGGGAGAGCACCAAGGAAGCGACAAACATACACCAAGCCTTTCCTAAGAGAGGGGCCATGCCTCTGATGCCACGGGTTGTAGAAACGGGGGAACCCAAATAGATCATGGGGAACATCCCACCCAAGTTAAGAGCATAAGCGGGCTCATAAGACCGCTACTTAAAACCCTAAGCAGGGGAGCAATCACTGAGCTAACACATAGTTAACCTCAGATAGCTAGGCTCTAGGAAAGGGGACCACTCCATGAGAGGGCTCCCCGCAATTGTAGTAGAACACAGCTAGCCACAGATAGCTGTATTCAAGTAAGCCGCGACCTGCCATAACAATGGCTGGAATATAACCACTCTCAGGTGGCTCTACCAAGGAGGTCCCAAACCTGTGTCAGTCCCACAATAGACAAAACCTAGATAGCCTTCCTGCAGAGCTGCCCAGACCACAGAGAGGGGGCTATCTAATTACTACCCCAGCAGGGGAGATGCTGTCTAGTCAAGGGCTCAAGGAGACCACTACTTAAAGACCCTAAGAAGGGGAGCAGTCACTGAACTAACACATAGATATCCTCAGCTAACTATGTAACCAGGAAAGGCTACCAGACTGAAACTACCCAGACCACAAGAGTGGGCTGTCTACTTACAACCCAAAGAGGGGAGACAGCACTGTCTAGGTAAAGCTCAAAAGACCGCTACTTAAAACCCTAAAAAGGGGAGCAATCACTGAGCTAGCACATAGCTATCCACAGATAGCTAGGCTCTAGGAAAAAAGACCACTCCATAAGAGGGCTTACTGCAACTGCAGTAGAACACAGCTAGCCTCAGATAGCTGTATTCAAGTAAGCCCATCCCGCCATACCGATGGCTGGAATATAACCACCCTCAGATGGCTATACTAAGGAGGTCCCCAATCCGCGTCAGAGCATAGATAGCCTTCCTACAGAGCTGCTCAGACCACAGAGAGTGGACTATCTACTTACTACCCAAGCAGGGGAGATAGCACTGTCTAGGCAAGGGCTCAAAGAGACTGCTACTTAAAACCCTAAGCAGGGGAGCAATCACTGAGCTAGCACATAGATATCCTCAGATAGCTATGTACCTAGAAAGGGCTACCAGAAGGGGGACCGACTGAAAACTACCCAGACCACGAGTGGGCTGTCTACCTACATCCCAAAGAGGGACAGAGACAGCACTGTCTAGGTAACTGAGCTAGCACATAGCTATCCTCAGATAGCTAGGTTACAGAAAAAGGGGACCACTCCAAGAGAGGGCTCACCGCAACTGCAGTAGAACCCAGCTAGCCTCAGATAGCTGTATTCAAGTAAGCCCATCCTGCCATAACAATGGCTGGAATATAACCACCCTCAGCTGGCTATACTAAGGAGGTCCCCAATCCTTGTCAGTCCCACAGTAGGCTAGCAAAGCACCGTGCTATTGACCAGGAGCTGACAAGAGGGAGATCCGTCTCCCATAAGTAAATTATTCGTTAAGAGCGAACACAAGATCAACTCTAGATGCTGAAAACCCTGGTAGAGAAAACTCGCAAGCCTCTCTCCACAGGGTATTTAAATATATTCACGCCCAGCGAGGCTCTCCATACACAAAAACATGCACATTAGAGAGGCACGGCCGAGCTGAATATAGCTCCGCCCATGATCTTGCAGGATCAGGGCTGAAACGACTCCGTGCAAACACTTCATCGTCATAACAACCCAAAGTATCTGTGACATCCGACAACCCGTTTAGAAAGGGTTTGCGGATCCCGCAGATCAAAGCGATGACCGCAAGGAGAAAAAAGCTGTGCCGCGGCAATGACGGAACCACGCCGTGAGATACAAATGCTTTGTTCCGCATCCCTCGGGAATAGGAACAAACGTGAGCGGAGCCTAGACACCGTGACTCATCACGATGAGTGCGTAACTCTGAACACGCGCGCTCTTCGCAGAGACAACGCGAAAACAGAACATGCCCTTGAGTGTTAGAATCCAAACAAGGAGGCACACAATCCTTAAGGCGCTGCTCGACTCGAGCGCTATCTGCGGGATCCGATAACCCAAAAAGAGCATCTAAATCGGCGAATCCCGCAATCTGAGTCTTCGCTGTGCCTCGGCAACAGCGGGACCCGAACCGCGAGACGCAAACGCTTGTCACTCATCTCTCGAGAAGAGGGACAAACGCGAATGGAGCTTCTCATTGGAAAACACTCACAATGAGTGCGTTCAGAGCCCTTGAGCACTGAACGCACAAGCTCCTGACCAAGGCACAAGACAGATAGATCGTGCGTGTCCTCAAATGCCAGAAACCTCTGGAACGGAGGCACACACTTTCCACACCACTCACCTGCCTTGGTCTCTCACACGCACTTCAAACAAACGGCTCCTGAAGACAGCAAAGAGGATGACATATTCAGCAGGTGCCCTTTTATACTTGCGGGCATCCCGCCTATGACGTCATGGGCCAGGTGGGCCAATAGACTGGCGTTGTTTCACATGTGCTTCAGACACCGGTCATGCAGGCTGGATTCCCCATTGTGCCCCCTAGGGGGCGCAGCATTGAGTTCCCTAGAAGGGGAACTGTGTTTACATGCCCTTTAAAAGTTTCAAACTAAAGAAATAATTAATCTTTTAAAATGTCATATAAACTTCTAAACATAAATTCCATCTTGCCTTAACCTGACTTTAGATTTAACAGGAGACAGATCACTTTTGTTAAACTTTTCTAAACTTTGTGTTACCGAACACATTGCATCATCATTGGACAAATCAGTGATTCGTTCAAAATGAATTGCTTCCAGTTCCTTTCTACCTGGTTGTCAGCCAGTGTGTCTTGACACTCTTCATTGTGCTTGATAATCTGATGTTTGTTGTGTTTCTCTATCAGACTCAGAATTATTTTAGTATTATTTTATACTATTCTAGTATTTATTATTTTTAATTCGATTTTATTTTTATATTTTGAGATTTCATTTTAATTTTAGTTTCAGTAATTTTTTGCTTTGGTAATTTTTTTTTTTTTAGCTTTAATTTATTTTTATGTCAGTTTTAGTATTATTGTAGTACTTCAGCTTAAAGTTAGTTGCCAAGGCAACATTTCAAATTTTTGTAAGTTGAAGTTTTTCCATCTAATATTTACATTTTGCTTTTTTCAATAAAGAAAATGAATTTTAATCATTTTAGTTTTAGTTAACAATAACAACACAGATCAATTAATGCCTGAATAATGACCAGTGAAACCCAATGGTTTTCGTAAAGAAGCCAGTATTTTCAGTGTATCCAGCAGAGGGCAGAATTCACTCAGTAATGGGGCGGTACACAAAACACATTTACAGCAGTTTTTGTTTAAGGACTGGTTCTCATAAATGTCTTTGCATTATACATGTTTGTTTACCTGACTTGTTGCGCTCCATCGTGCTTTCTTGGCTAGTGAAACCAGATGATGATTCTCCACTCGAGACATCGACAGTAACATGTGGATCAAATGGCTGGAGAGAACGCTGGACTGACCCAAACCTACACACACAACAAATATTAACATATTATTAAATATATTCTTATTTAACTTACTATAACATGTTAACCAGCTAAATTCTGACCACTCGGTTTAGGTTGGCTGGCATTTCATTGGAGAGCAGTGTTTTGGAAGAAGGACATGTGGTTAGAGTTAGCAAAGAAGTGGAAAATGCTTAGAGCAGGTAACATGAAATACAGTTCAGATAACAAGGGATGTGATTTTAGTCATCAGAATTTATTGGATTGTGGAAAGGGTTCGTTCATGACAGGTGGTTGGAGGGGAGTTTGGTCCCCGAGGCAGATAAAGACATTTCACTTTAAAGTCGCACAGAAATGGAAATACAGAGAGATTGTTTCTTCTGTATTGTGACATATATCCAAGTGTAACAGATTATCGAAAAAATAAAAAATTGTAGGATGTGGACTTGGTTCTATGAGTGGATTGGAGTTGCGCTCAAAAGTAGTGGTCGACCGATATATCGCTAAGGCCAATATATCGGCCGATATTTGGCATTTTTCAAATATCGGCATATACCGATAAGTTTTTCTGTTTGGCTGATGTGTTCGAGGCGGGACTTTTACTTTGACGGCGCTGAGAACGGCAGCGCCTGAGCGCACACCGCTCGCATTCTCCCTCTTGTTCGCTGTCGTCGTTCAGTTCTGTCTAATATGGATAATAATATCTAATAGAACTGTTAAACAAAATAATAAAAATGTATACACAACGTATTATAACAATTGCTTTAATATTATTAGTAACAGAAAGGCAAACATTATAATACTTTCTCATTTGCCGTCAGCATTCAGCAAATACGCATTTATATAATTTAAACAAATCTTTGAATGACTAATGAACATTTAATTTCATAAACCTTGCAGACTTAGTCGAATCTAGTTGAGATCTTGTGAAGTGTGCATTTGTATCCTGCATGATCGCGTGTTCTCTGCGTGAAGGTCGGCCCTTGCAAATTGAATGCTGACAGGAGGAGAGTTCAGCTTCACTGGAGACGCGCGATTGACAAACTTTAAACTAGTGATTTCAAATTATGCTGCGCTTTATGCATTTGCCCGCTGTCATATTCGTGTAATTTTCATTGCGTGCTGTATGTAAAATGAGTGTTACCTTGGCTTTATTTGAAGAAGAAAAAATTATTCCCAATGCACACAAACTTCCCAGAATGCTGAGTGCCCTGTTGGTTACAGTGTCTACTTCCTTTTTAATTAGCTTTTTATTAAATATTTATTTATTTGTGAAAATGCTTTGTCTTCTAAAGCAGTGTTTCCCAACCTTTTTTTAGTCGCGGCACCCTTTGGAAATTTTAACAAACTTGTGGCACCCTACAAAATTAATTTTGTCACAATATTTGAATTTCTAACTTCGATATGATAATTTGAAAAGTATAGATATTCGGTACAACAGGGAAGAACTGCAGAATATAATGTCATACAGATATTTTTAATATTGTTAAAATCAATGGTGGCAATCAGTAGGATAATTTCTAATGAAGAGACCAATTTATATGACAGATTTGAATTTATTCAGTTTTTTTAATTCATATATAAGCATTATTTAATTACCATTATAACTAGCTATCTCACACATTTTTGCTCAGTGTTTTTTTTTATTTTACAGTGGGGTAATTTTGGTGCAGTAGCACGAGAAACTTTGAATTGAATAAAAAATGACAAGTAAGCAGTCAGTAATAAAATAAGAACAAATAAAGAAATTAATAATGATAGCACAAATAAAAAATATGCTTTTTAACTAAATGCTTTTTAGTTTTTCAGGTAGGTCTAACAGTAGGGTTATGATATTTAACTTTTTAAAAAAATTTTTTACCAATTATCCAAATAATGTTTAGTCCTAGAAAGCTATTATTATCAGAACACGCGAGCATAACATAGCGGTTAGCAGATCAATGAATGAGAGGGCAGCCGCAGCATTACCAGAGTTGCCCATTTACCACACCATGTTACAGCACAGTAGGGCTATTGCAGACAGAAACAATACTGTACTACATCGATGTTTCCTGTCGGCTCAATTTTTGAGTGGACTTTGCTGTTTCCGATTCGCATGAACGGTGTATGAGTGGAGCGACTGAGCGGAGCACACACGCATAGAGTGGGATAATACGCAGAGCGTCACACCACGTGAAAGTGAAACCTGAGCGGTGAACTATTATTGGCGACATCAGAAATGGATATTATATAATAGATGCTTTTTTGAACATTTTAGCAATTTAAAAATATTTAAAGACTTTTTACACGGCGCCCCTGCTCTGGACAGACGGCACCCCGGTTGGGAAACACTGTTCTAAAGTATCAGTATGTTTATTTTACACAATTATTTTTAATCCATTTTCAAATGATTTCAAATTTCTTAAATATAAATTAAAATAAATAAAATTATATCAGCTTTATATCGGCCACCCTGCTTTCCAAGATATTGGCATTGGCTGTCAAAAAACACATATCGGTTGACCACTACTCAAGAGTGGAGGCAGATGAATGCGAGCTGGCAGACTGGAGAAGTCCTGCATATGTCACTAGAGAGAGAAATCTGTCATTTTCACTGGAAGGTCCAGTTGTGACATTCTGAAGGTCAAATAAAATAAAAAAATAATAAAAAAAGACACATGCACGGATGAATTGTTCACAATAAGGTATAACATCCATTAAGAAAGTAGGGTAAATTTAAATTTCATGCTGACTTTAATAAAAGATAATCCAAACATTTTATGTGGTATAACATGCACTGATGAGTCAAACACATTATGAGCATTAAGAAACCAAACAGGGCCAGTTTTGCCACCCCGCAGCAAAGTCTGCATCATACACAACATGCCACATTGAATCTAGAGTCTGTTGCAACTCAAGTGTTCTGTCACTTGTCACATTGTGGGTTTGAGCGGTGATGTACGACTACATCTGATGGGACTAATAATAGCACTCATTAGCACATCTTGCTGTGTCAGTGAGTCAGTGTGAGATACTAACAGACTCACAGTACCCCAACATCTCTCTATAACGCTCTAATGCACTTTAAACTGTCGACACATTCAAGGGAAACTTTAAACACTGCATGAGCTGGAACTTGCAACTGGACTTTAGTATTAAAATGTATTTCCAAGTGAAACGGAATATTGCATAGAGCATGGGGCTTGAATTTAGCTCAACTCCTCAATCTCTGGCTCGCAGAAAACTGAAGGTTGGAGAAGAAGGGTTAAGGACGTTCTGCCTCAGGCTGTAAAACTGATGTCAGCAGAAAATGAGCGCCATTCCAGAAGGGAAGCAAATTTTCAGGAGTTGACTAAAGATTACGAAGACAATTTATTTCTGTAGATTAACTTGCACAGATTAAATGTTCACCACAAGACTAGTAATATGTGCTAACAAACAGGGTCTATTTTGATTTTATGCAGACTTATTTGGTTCAGAAGCACAATCAGCTGAACTATCTTGCTAATAAAGATCTTTGTGCGCTCTATAAATATTTAAGGTGTTTTTCATGGGGATGGTGTATGGAGGGGACAAGTCCTAATTAGATGTAGAACAACCAGGATATGCTAATCAATGACCCATTTTTTAATTACATTAAATATGAATGCATGTGACTAGGAAACACTGAAAAAGGGAAAAATACAAAGATGACAACATGGTGATTTTTCTTATTCCTAGTCTTATTGTGAAAAATTCAGTCTGCTAACTTAAAAAAAAACCAAACATTCACAGCAAGTTCCTCTGGTTGAACAGGGCAGCTAACCATCAAGCACACAACAGAGCACTATGAAAGTCTGTACATGCCATGACCTCTGCTTTATACACATATACAATCATACACAAACACACAATATGCTTGTGAGTCAGCAGCAGTCTAGGTCTAGCTGATACATGCCTCAACCGCAGTCTCTCATTTACCCATCAGACTCACCCACTGATGACGGTAAACAGCGCCTGAAGATGTTCATTTCTACCCTCACTAACATTTATAGCTTCTGCTGTGTCAGTTCCCAGTAGTTATAAGCAAAATATTGAATATTTACATTAAATGAAAGCAATACAGATGTGTCAATAATGTCTCTGATCAATTCATCTTGTCAGATAAGTTTTTTTGAATTGTCTGTTTCAGAGACCAAACTGTCTATATATATATATATATATATATATATATATATATAAAATTGATACACTACTGTCTAAAAGTTTATTTTCTTTTAAAATAACGGTTTTCTACTTTAACATATTTTAAAATTATTCCAGTCTTCAGTTTCACCCAGTCCTTCAGAAATCAATGTTGAAAACCGTTGTGCTGCTTAATATTTTTAAAATATTCTTTTTTTCAGGATTCTAATGAATAGAAAATGCAAAAAAACAACGTTTATTTGAAATAGAAATCTTTTCTTACATTATAAACGTCAATTTTGATCAATTTCATGAATACTTGTTAAATGTAATTAAATGTATTAATTACTTTAAAATCTCACTGAATCCAAACTTTTGAACAGTAGATAATATAAATATAAATATATTAAAACCTCTGGGAACCCCTACACCACAGTGATCATAGTTGCAGCCTCTGAAAATGCCACGCCATTATTTTATTTGCATTATATTATTATAATGATCCACGCTGGTTTATTATGGTTTGCATTTTAGATAAACCACCCCAAAGCAAATTTTGTGGTTGGTCATTTAGCATGTCAGTCTCTTCCTGTCTAAACAGGAAGATCTTAATCAGAATAAGCTGAAATGATGATCAGACGGCTTGTCTCAAGTCAAAAGTCTGGCTATGTGAGACTAGGTTGATTATGACCGATTTAAAGCCCTTGTGCCAGACAAAAATCTTCATCCTGTGTTAAAGTTGACATATTTTAAGGGATATTTCAAAAGAATGGTTCTGCAGTAATTTGAGTGTGTACTTGAGCACAGCGGGTCTGGTTCACTGACAGATTAGTCCCAAATCCCTGCTGACCAGTACACTAACCCCTATTGAATTCCAAACAGCATGAGGATGAAATGCTCTCATCAGCGGCAGAATCCCTCTGGGTCTCTCTGCTTTCTGATGATCTGATGATGATGAGAAACTGAAACCAACCCCCCCTCCCCCCCTCCCCCCACCC